GCGGGGCGTGGGGGTTGGGGCTGCCCCCCGGGGGCGCCCGGGCCGAGCCGTGTGTGGGGGGACGTGGCCGAGCCCTGGGGCTTGGGGGAGGCAGGGCAGCACGGGGCAGGGCTCGGTTTGGGGATGCTCCTGTGGCAAAGCATGGGGCTGAGCCGGGAGCAGCCCCTCGCCCCTTGCAGGGGGGCTGCGGGGGCAAGGGGCCGGCGGTCACTGGTCCCTCCTGTCGGCAGGGAGGCCTCTCAGCCGCTCCTTCCCGCGCGGTCTCAGCTGTGAAGAACATCAACCTGCCAGAGATCCCTCGCAACATCAATATCGGAGACATCAACATCAAAGTGCCCAACCTGTCACAGTTCATGTGAGCGTCCTGCGGCGGGGAGTGCTGCCCACACATGTGGGCTGTGGCCTGGGCTGGCTGGGGAGAGGAGCTGGGCCCCGCTGGGCTCCCTCTGCCCCTTCTGGGTCTCTGCCTGTGTGGCACACGGTGGGCACGGTGTGCTGCCGGGGTGCCTGGCTGGCTGGCAGAGGGTAGGGAGTGGTGATGGGGCTCAGCGAGAAGGAGGTGGTGCTGTCCGCCTGTCCATCACCTTGGACCTTGGTGTGGTTCTGCTCTCTGGTCTCCCAACAATGAGGGTGGCCTTTCTTCCCCTCCCTCCTCCCTCCCCGTGGATGCACAGCCTCTCCTTGCTGCACGGCGAAGAGCCAGGTCCTGCCTCTCCCAGCATTTCTTGGGATTCCTGGTTGTAAAATTGCACCTGTAGTCAATGGCTCCCAGAGGAGCCGTAGGTTGTCGTCTCCTCCATCGTCCCTGGGCTGGGCTGTCTCCTGCCTGGCATCCCTGCGCCCGCCCTGGGTCACGCTCGCTGGGTCTGGGACCCCAGGCTGGGATTGGTACCAGTCTGGTCAGGGTCGCTCATCAGAGCTGCTGTGAGCTCTGGAGCTGGGGTCAGTGTGGGTGGTACCTGCTGGACCGGGAGACGCTGGCGGTGAGAGGGGGGGGAGGAGCCCGCCTGCGCT